TTTTTATGCTAGAATAAAAAGTGATTTATCTACTACAATTATAGTAACACAATATTTTGTATTTGTCTACATATTTATCTGTGCCAATGTGCTACACACTGTCTTGTGCTATAATGTTGCTGTTTAACATCCTTTTAACATAAAAACTCCCCTTAGCATTTCTTATAAGGCAGGTTTAGTGGTCAACACTCTCAACTTTTGAATGTGTGAAAAGGTCTTTAACTCTTCTTCATTTTTGAAGGAGAGTTGCTAGGCATAGTATTCTTGGTCAGCAGTTTTTCTTTTTGCCCTTTGAATATTTGTCTCATTTCCTTCTGGCCTCAAAAGTTTCTGCTGAAAAATCCATTCATTAACTTATGCAGGTTCTATTGCACATGACAACCCACTTTTTCTTGCTGCCTTCAATATTCTCCCTTTGTCCTTGACTTATAAAAATTTGATTACAATGTATCTAGGTGTGAATTTCTTGAGGTTCATCTTATTTGGTGTTATTTGGGTTCCTTATACCTAGATGTCCATTGTTTTCACCATATTTTGGAAAATTTGATTACGTATGTATATGTGCTTTTTGGTCCTTTCCTCACTCTTCTTTCTTTTTTACCCATAATATATACATTTATTGGCCCAGTCCACTGATGATTTTTCCTAATTCCCTTATGTTTTCTTCACTCTTTTGCATTCTCTTCTTTTTGCTCCTCTGACTAAATTATTTCCAGTGACCTGTCTTTCAGTTCATTGATCCTTTATTCTGCTTTATCTGATCTGCTGAATGCCCCCAGTCAACTTTTCAGTTCAGTGATTATGGACTTCAGCGCCAAGATTTTTGGCACTTTTAAAAAACATATTTTCTGTGTTTTTTTTTTTAATTCTCACTTTTTACTGCATTATTCTTTAGGCCTTAGCCATTCTTTTTAAAATTATTTTTAATTTTTACATATACATGTGATTATTAGGTTTCTACTTTTTTCCTTCACAGAATTAAAAAGGCTTAAAATTTACCAATAATAACAATGTTTAAGATAAGGACTAGAAACAAAAAATCATAAAGAATGAATGAAGATAAATACATTCAGAAATCAGACAATGGCTACAATGAAGTATTAAGCAATAATAGTAATACAAAGAAAGTAACATTCACATTGTCAAATAAGAGTATGACTATCATAGATGCTTTGACTCTGATGTTCAGTATAGAGTCATCAATTAACTTATGTTTTGTCCAAAGTCTAAAGACAACTAATACTTATAAATAAAAATAAAAGATAATTTCAAAAAACAGATGATGCCAAATGTTACAATAGAAAGAGGAAATACTTCAAAATCATTCTGCTTAATCTGGATACACCTGATATTAAATTTGGAAAAATTATTACAAAGGGGAAATTACAAACATAATTCACATTTAAATGAGGATGCAGTATCCTGTATCCTAAACAACATATTAACAAGTTGAAGTAAAAATTAATGTTTAAGTGAGGTACTTTAGTCAAAATTGAATCTAACTTATGTGAGAATTAGTCACTATTTTCTTTGTGTTTTTTCCCTTGTCCTTACCCTCACCCCCTCCCTCCTTCTCTGTCTGCTCACCCCTTCCCCCATGCCCCACATGTCATTAATTGTCATTAATTGTCCTTATATCAAAGTTGAATAGGATTCATACTTCTTCATTCCTGTGATGCTTCACTAAGGATAATGTGTTCCATCTCTATGGTATACATATACCACAACTTGCCAATCCATTCCTGGGTTGAAGGGCATTTAGGCTGTTTCTACATTTTAGCGATTGTAAATTGGGCTGCAATAAACAGCCTAGTTCAAGTATCTTTATAATAAAAGGGTTTTTTTTCCTTTGGATAGATGGCCAGTAATGGGATTGCAGGATCAAATGGGAGGTCTAGGTTGAGTTCTTTGATGTTTCTCTGTACTTCCTTCCAAAAAGGTTGTATTAGTTTGCAGTTCCACCAGCAATGTAAAAGTGTTCCTTTCTCTCCACATCTGTGCCAAACTGTGCATCTGCAGTTTTGAGATTTTGTGATGTCAGCCATTCTTGCTGGGGTTAAATGATTTCTCAGGGTGGTTTTAATTTCATTTCTCTAACAATTAGGGAAGATGAGCATTTTCTCATGTATTTGACAGCTATTCATCTATCTTCTTTAGAGAAGGTTCTGTTCATCTCTCTTCCCCATTGATGTATGGGATTGTTGGTTTTTTTCTTGTAGATTAATTGAAGTTCTGTATAGATCCTAGTTATTAAACTTGTGTCTGATTCAAAATATAAAAATATCATTTCCCATTGGGTAGGTTGTCTATTTGCTTTGGCTATTGTCTCATTGGCTGTACAGAAGCTTTTCAATTTAATTAAATCCCATTTGTTTACTGTTGTGGTTGTTGCTATTGCATTAGTCATTATTCTTATGAGTATTATTTTTAATTCTCTATCAGGCAAATCATGTAACTCTGTTTCATTAGAGTGATTTATTTTACTGGAGATTTATCTTATTTCTTTGTTTGGAACTTTTTTGCATGATTCTTCACTTTCTTGACTATGATGGTATCTAAATATTAGACAAAGCACAAACCTCTTTCAATCTTTACGGATTGGCCTTATACCAATCACCCAGAGATTCTGGTGGTCTCTACCAACTCTTTCTTTCTCTAAGGAAAAGGAAGCAGCTGTAGTTAATAAATGCCTGGTTGAGACGTAAGTTGAGTGTTCAATCTGTGCTTAGCAAGGTGGGTAGAGGGAAGCAATAGTGTTTATTAGCCCAAACCACTGCTTCCATTTTCCTTTGGGTAGCCAGCTTGTGACAAACCTCTCAGAGATCCAGAACTGGAAAAATAGAAGCTGGTTCTTTGGGCAGCCCCAAAGAAGTTGGGGCAGTGGTCATATTGATCAATTATCTCCATTCTCAGAAGGAAGCTTAGAGCTGGAATTTTCACATCTGCTCACCCTGTAAGCTGTAACCACCAGAAGGCCCTTGACTTTTGATGCCAATCCCTGCAGTGCACAGAGGATCTGGCTCCCCTCAAGTTGCTCCCTGGATTATTCTGGTGGCCTGTTTTTCTCTGCAAGGTATTGAGTCTCTGTATCATTTTCTCACTCAATAACAAGACACAGTGGGTGAAATGGGAACAATCAAGACAGATGTCAATGTCAGCTAATCCTAGATCCTGTCCCAGCCTGCCACTCACTGGCCAGAGTCCTGCTCCACTTTACCAAATACAAATTTCTTCATCTATGAAATGGAAGCAATAATACCAATAGCTCATAGGAATGCAATGACATTAAACAGAATGAAATATTGATCAGAGAGGTTCTGAGTGCAACATCTGGAATCATTCTGGCTCTTCAGCTACTTTTCAGCCACCTGGGCCTTCACCCCACACTGCTTCAGCATCCTCCTTTACAGAGCAAGGACAACACTGGTCCCTACTCAAAAACCTTACAGTGGAGAGTAAACAATTCACAGATATGCTCAGAGTAGTGCCTGGTGATCTCTCAAGTAGACAGTGATTAGCCATGCTGGTTCAGCATACAGGGATGACAAGTACTGGGCTTGCAGAAACCTAGTATGTGGTGCTCAATACAAGAAAGAATGAGTTTTCTTAACCTCTTGTGTCTTCAGGGGCCCAGTGGAGGCCTGCTACCCCTAGAAGGGCCAGCAAAGAACATCAGAATAGTGCGTTAGGTCCCTCAAATACCACCTCCTACCTGAGTGACATTTATATAAAATGTTAATCCCAAACAGGCAACTCTCAACTACTCTAGGGCACACTCACTTTTACTTCAGTAAAATATATCACACAGGCCAGGGGTCATGGCTTATACCTGTAATCCTACCATGTTGGGAGGCCAAGGGAGGAGGAACCCTTGAGCTCAGGAGTTTAAGACCAGCCTGAGCAAGACTGAGACCATGTCTCTACCAAAAATAGAAAATACTAGCCAGGTGTTCTAGTGGGTGCCTGTAGTCTCACATACTTGGGAGGCGGAGGCAGTAGGATCACTTGAGCCCAGGAGTTTGAGGTTGCTATGAGCTAGGCTGAGGCCGTGGTATAGCCTGGGAAAAAGAGTAAGACTGTCTCAACAATGGAATAGAATGCAATTAAATAAAAATGAAATGAAATAATGAAATGAGGTGAAATGAAATTAAATAAAACAATGTTTTTAAAAGGAATGCACAATTTCATGGAATAAATACTTTTAAACAGAGTCTCTAAAACAAACAAGCAAACCTCAAAGTGTCTATTGCAAGTTGCTTCTCTCTGAGGATTTGGTTTCCTTAACAGCCCCTACCTCCTAGGGCTTCCATGGGATGAACAGAGTGAGAAAGAGAGTATACCTATCCCAGACCCTTGTATTAACTGGAATAATGCCCAGCTTTTATTTTGACATGGCAAATTCTTACTCTAAGATGTCACTACCCAAACCTGGTTTTAGGTACAAAGTTTTGACTCTCTTCAATCAACACAGGAAGTATTAAGGGTACTGAAATAAGGAACAGGAAAGACAACTATGACATGCCTTACCGAAGAAGCCAACAGCCCCTCTACATATAGGACCTGCTTCTCTACTGGGCAGTTGCCCATCTGAGCCTCTTGACCACACCTGCTTCCTCCTCTCCTCACAACTGGGATCCTTCATCCATACCCCTCACCTCTCCACCTCCACCACTGCCTCCCTACCTCCACCATCACCTTCCTACTGCCACCACTACCTCCCCATCTCCATCTGTCACATTCCCATCTCCATCATCACTATCCATAAGTGTCTCACCTCCACCGTCCCCTTTCTACTCTACCTATCACTTTCATGCCTGCCCCATTTCCTCCCCATCCTCACTATCACCTTTCCACCTTCACAGTCACCTTCCTGTCTCCACACATCAGCTCCACAACTGCCCCCATTCCCTTCCCACCTTCACCTCCCCACCTCCTCATCACCTCTACACCTTAGCTCCCCAGGTCCACTACTGATGGGTGTCAGTGAGTGCCAGCCTTACCTCACATTGTCATGCCTCTGGATGTAAATCTTGTGGAAAATCCTCTCAGGGGGCTTCAGAAAGTCTTCCTTCATCTCCATGGCAACATTCCGTGGCAGGAGGCTCATGAGGAGTCGCTCCTGGATGGGAGAGAAGGGCCCAAGTCAGAGGGTGGGGCCCATTCTTGCTCAGAATAACCTCCCCAGGGAGGTTGGTGGTGAAGAGCTGCTCTCAACAAAGAGCTGCAGACCTTCTTCCTCATGCACAGCTGGCACAAGTCCAGACCTGCAGACCCTGCCCATCCCCAGAGCCTCAGTGGGCTCACACCCAGGCCTGGACTGCCATTGAACAAATATCTCAGTCCAGGAGCACTGACCAAGCACTTGCACAAACTCTCAAACACTCAGTCAGGCCCCGGGCACCCCCTCACACCATTCCCTGGGCCACGGTGCTAGGTCTTGAGCTGGCTGCCAGGCACTCTTAGTTTGAGTGTACAGAACAGACAGAGCAGAGAAACACCACCATCTCCAACCAGGGCCCCCACCTGGCCTCTCTGTCTATCCCCACTGCTCCAACACATCTCAAAAAGAATTCTGCTGACGGTCATACAAAAACTAACTGACCTTCCAGGGCACACAGAGAGTTCCCTTGTTCTTACACAAATAAGTGGGCCAAGGGACTATATGGCATTTTCCCATGCTTTATGCCTTCTTTTTTCTTCCTTATCTATATAGGTCAAATGTTTATTCTTTTCTCTCCCAAGAGAAATGTTTATTCTTTTCTCATTTGGGTTTTTCGAAATGAGCTGTGCCACTCTGGAGAATCCCTTCACCTTCCTAGGGCTCAATTTCCTCATATGGACTGAAGGCATGAGTAGACCTTTGATTCTCATATTCTAGCGGACCATTCCTGACCTCAGCCCCAGTTAGCACATCCAGAAGCATGGTATTCATATGTGTTCCAGAAGCATGGTATAAGGGTCCCCCACTTATCCCTCAGTCTGCACACACACACACACACACACACACACACACAACTTTGGAAAGGAAAACAAAAGAGCAGAGTTTAAATCCCAAGTAGAACTGGGTAGAACATCCTAATCCTGCTGACAAGTGAGAACATGGGCCGGAGAAAGCAGGGGAAGGTGAATGCCTCTCACTGTTCCTCTCTAGGATCTTCTCCCTCACCTACAGCCTGTCCAGGTAGATGCCAGCAGCTTGTCCTCAGCAGGAGTCATGCAGTGACCTGGTCCTGAAACACATCCCCTTCCTGCCTGCCTCCCAGCCCAGCCCAGGCCTGCTGGTAGAGTTCTCAGGGCTAGGGGTCCCTCCTGGACCAAGGGCCCACTCTGCAGTGCCTGAGGGCACATGCCTGAACCAAGAGTGGCTGCCGTCCCATATTATTTTTCCAGAAGGAGCACAATTGCCCAGGTGCCTTCCTACTCAGAGCCCATAAGGTCATCCATGATGAAAACAGCCACACAGATCCCTAAGGCTGAGGGGACCTCTGAGAAGTGGCCACGAGGAACTCACTCCCTCTGTCTCATGTTACTGACAGCACTGTATGTGCACAGATCATTGTTTTGATGGAAGAATGTATTGGACATACTTGAGAAGTCTCCCCAGGTGAGCTATTTTCATATAAACTTTGGAGTTCAGGAAAGTCAATCCCAACCTGCATGCTGCCATGTGAGGCTGCGTGTGTTCCTGCAGGAAAGGCCTGCCTTGATGCTGGCCCAGTGTCTACTGCCTGGTGGTCCATAGAAAGGGGCTCTCTGCAGGCAGCCAGCTGTGCTAGGATGGAGGGAACTCAGTCTCTCCACATACCCACAGACCAGGACCAGCAATAAGAATGTGGCACCTCTGGAAGCTTCCAAAGACCATCACTGCCCCAATGCACAAAGATGCTGGCCAGAAGGGAAAACAGAAGCAGCTGTACAAACACAGAAAGCCATCCTGGAAAGGCACCTAAGGAGACTAGCCACAGGTTCTGCACGTTCTCCTGGGCAGCCCTAAAGTCATGGGGAGAATCAACAGCCCTTGGCTCCTCAAAACTATGAGCTCGATGCCAGGACTTGGGATTCAGCAGGCAGTAGGTGGGTTGGTACCAGGACAGAGCTCCTGCACAGAAGTCACAGGGTCTTGATGTCCAACATCTATTTCCTGGTGCCAAAGTCTGGCACTGCTACTTTGGGACTGTGAGTTAATCTGTGTTCCAATCATCACATCTGACAGAGGGTAATAATATCTGGGTAATAAACAAGACCCACAGGTCTAGCCCTCAGCCTCACACTGAACAGAGTGGTCACTGCATGTCCATCCCTCCTGCCTGGCACCACTAATTCCATGGCTTCACACTCCACTTGCTGCCTCTTACATCTTTTAAGTCTCTGACTCACATGTGCAAGCATGTTAAAATCCTCCCAAAGTCAATCAAGAAGCTAAGATTCTGCCCTTCACCCAGTATTACCTCCCACCTTCCCTTACAGTCAGCATTCTCAAATACCCCTCCTTGACAGCCCCTGAAGCCACTGTCACAGGATCTGACCTGAGGGTAGGCCTTAGGGTCCTTCTTCTTCCCACCACCTTGACTGCCCTGCATGATCTGAATTAGAAGCAAAAACTTTAGTCAGCAATAGACTGAGGGACTGAGCCAGTGAGGCCGGAAAAACTGAAAAATGCACCTCCCCCATTCCAGAGACCTCAAAGAATGATAAAGGAACACCAAGAGCCACCAGCGTTGCTCCCAGAAAGGGGGAGAGAAAGGCTGCTGGGCAGACCCAGCACACCCCCTCTAGCATATGGTAGCATATGGCCTCCAGCAGGAGGGACTAGAGGGCTTCACATGGAGTGCTGAGCCATGGCACGGGTGTTGTGAGAGGCAGCTGCAGCAGTCACCCAGCTGGTGCCCCACTGCACCACTGGCACCATAAGAAAGCCCCTTACTTTCATCGGCGTTCTTGGCTACCTAGAATAAAGACTGCATTTTCCTCCCATGCAGCTAGATTGGACCAAGGAGATAAAAGAAAGGTCACGTGGGAGTTTTCGGAATATTTCTAAAAGACAGCTTGCTCCTATTCCCTTTCTCCCCTGCTGCTGCTGGGAATACGTAGTAACAGCCGAATCTCTATCATCTCGATTTATGAGGATGAAAGCCACACACTAAGGACACAGGTGGTAAGCTACATGGAGACTGGGTTCTGAGAGTTTGTGGATCAGGCCGACCACACCACTATAAAGTGCCTACTGAGGAAAGTGTATATGAGAGGAAAAGAGCTGTCTCACTTGTTTAAGCCACTGCCACACAAATATCCAAAGGGGAGAGAGTATTTCCAACCAGGAGCTCAGCTTTGCTCTATTAGATCAGTGATAGCACCTACAGCCAAAACACGTTAATAACCAAAGACTAAATAAAGTACATACTCTTTCCTGTAGTGAGCAAAACAGCCATCTGATAAGACTGAGAACTCGCATCTGATTAAAAATAGCAAAAACCTAAGACAAAGTAGCTCATTCATATTATAAAAATACTACTTGAAATTCACATCCAGTTTGAAATCTAACCCTAAAGCTCCAAGCAGCAATTAACATTAACATCAGGCATAGACAATGACATCAATAAATTCTAACCAACAAAATAAAAGGCCAGAAATCAAAGTTATAAAAACAGTTACAAATAGAGATCATACAACACATCCCACTGTCTTGCGAGGCTAGATAAAAAGCTTGATACACTTATCTTCACTATCAAAATGGGACATAAAAATGTACTATTCTTCATAAAAAGTATTTAAATGACAATTGTGATGACTGTGTCTGGGAAGACAGAGAAGTATTTTTCCCTATTCCTCCCACTGAGTACAACTAAAACATCAGAAGACTGAAAGGCAGGCAGAAAGAAGGCAGAGATCTTGAGACTGAGGCAAGGATGAGTTCCTGTCTTTTGTTTTTGCTTCATATGTGGGTCATTACAAAAGCTTTGAGATACACAACAGTTAAGAAATGTAAGACCCATGCAGATGTAAACAAATGAAGCCCTTCCAGCAACACAAATAAGACAAGCAAGTTGAAACTTGCACAGGTAAATCAGAAAGGATGCTGTTGACTGTTTCTTGGAAGCATAACTGTTTCTTGGACCATAACACAGTCTGTCTCCAAATTTTCATAATGACCCTCATATATCCCAGACTGAGTGCTGGAGAAGTGGGCCACTCAGAAGTACTAATCAGCACAGATGAAAAGAACAATAAACAAAAGACACGCTAGCCAAAGGACCAGGATGGGGCAGACTTATAAGAAGAAAGCATCTTAATAAGTGCCCTACTCCAGAACAAAGACACTGAAAGCCCCAACCCCCCTCACACCAGCAAAAACTGAGTAGAGAGGCTAGGCTGTGAAGAGTCCCCTAACCAATCCACCCACTCCCAGAGGGCAGCCTAATCTCCACCTGCTGGTAATGAGTATCCCCAATGAACTCTGTGGGGTCGATGAGGACCACAGGGTTCTCCTGATCCTCCCCCCTAGCCAGGTGCTATCAGTGGGTTCCGTGGGGAGCTGGGGCTGTCACTCCTGTGCAGCAGTAAGACGGAGCACCCCCACAAGTGTCAACAGAGGTCCAGCATGGGGACTGGACTTCCACCACCGCCTGGCAGCAAAGACACAACAGACCCCTTTGCATGCCAGAGTGATATCACAGAAAACAATCTAAAACAAAAGATCCAAATAAGATGTAGAGCCTCATGTATAATATTTACAAAGTCCAGATTCCAATGGAACATCACTTATCATACCAAGAAACAGGAAAAACTCAGTGAATAAACAAAAACAACCAACATACACCAGTAGGCAAAGATAGAGATGCTAAAATAACAAAGACTTTAAAACACCCATAAGAACAGATGTAAAAATCTCTGATAAGATAATAATTCAAGGGTTCACTAAAAGAATTATACACCCTGACCAAGTGACGTTTAATTTAGAATGAAATGCTAGTTGTAAATTGAAATATCAGTCAATGCTTTACACCATATCAATAGAATAAAGAATAAAAACTACATAGAATTGCTACAGAAAAAGAATTTCAAAAAATTCAACATTCATTTATTATGAAAACTTTCAGAAAAATTAACATAGAAGAGAAT